TGTTTATATACACGAGTAATACCGGATATAATATGTGTTGTATGCAATGAAAAAACTATATTTTCGGATTGCACAAGGTACGGAATATTATATTATCTTTTACAATCATTATAAAACTGAATATTCTTTACATTTCATGCTCTGGATATGATGTACAGTATCGTTAAGAATTTTATCAAGTTGCCTAAAAATATACAATGTTTGTGGTAGTAGTACTGAATTATTTTTTAGCAATTTTAAATATTCAGTTAATTCTTGCTTTATGCAGTCAAATAATGTACCAGATGATGAACTTATATTAAAAACAGCCGTTTTAACATATATAAATGCTTAATAATTTAGTTTCGATTTTTATGTATTTCACAAAGTCACATTCATATTCATATACAATATTATCATTACAATAGAAAGTAGGCCCCTGTGTCTAAAAAAAATAATGAAAATATGAAAATGAGATATAAGGAATTACATTCGAAGCAAAGCCTTTACCATGTAGGCCTAACTCTCTTAAATAATAATATAATTAATTCTTTAAAAAAAACTTAATCTATGCCTAAGGAACAGTTTAGTGGTAAATCTATCCCACGCCGGACACCATCCCGGTATTTCTAAGTCGAGGTTTCGGCCTTAATAAAAGATTGCTAGTACAAGTAAAATGTTTTACTAGAATTAATCTAATCTTCTAGTCATCTAAAGGTAAAATTATCCAGCACCGGATATCATCCCGGTATTTCTGAGTGTAGGTTTCGAAGCCGAAAGATTACGTGGTGAATCAAATCATGATAAATAAGCCTAAGCTACTGATACGTAACTACAATAAAAATGAAATAATTTCAAATTTGTTCCATATTTTCAATAGGCTGAATGTGCAAGTTATGTTTAAAGTTTCTTTATTTTTTTACGTTGTAGTTGATAACTTATTTGATCCGTATAAATGACATATGGAATACTTGGGTAGATGTTTTACTAATTAGCATAACACTCCATTATAATTGTCCAAAGTTGTAATCTGTATTATTTGGTTTGTTTTTGTTGCGAGACTGTACTATTGTGTTGCATGGGTTTCCTGAATAATGACCAATTTTATGTCGACCATTGTTTTTCTAAATTATTGAAGGTTGGCTTGCGCTTCATAACCAGAAGGGAAAGGCACAACGTAAATACCCATTTATATTACATCCATTCAGGTGAAAAAAAACACCCTATAATTGAGACCGCTTCAGGGGTGGCGCCAGTGGGGGACCACAATACTAGGGGGAGAAAAAAAATTATATGTATTTTCTACATTTATTATTAATAGACTCTAAAATCGATTAAATAAGCCAAAAGTTGTCAAAATTTTCGGGCTTCGCACCCTGGACCGTTTTCGAGGCCTTTTAAGCGACGCTTGAACACGCCCAGTTTGTTACCGTGATAGAAATGTGACCCCTTGTTAAGGGCATCGCCCCCCCCCCCCCGTTGGGGACCTCTGTCCCCGTAGGGAAAATCATGGTGCCACACCGGGACAGCTTAGGGTGACTACTACATGTAGACGAGGTTGACTGGTTTAAATATTTTTTGCTTGAAGTCTGGTCATTCAATTTTGGGAAAAAAGAAGAGGTTGCATCAGAGTACAATTTGGCTTACAAAACGATATTGAGTTGTAAATTATTGGTCCGGCCAATACCGGACCGCTTCCGACGCCCTTGGCACATAACTACAAACGTATTAGTTGTCTAGTTAGTTATTTTAGTTATATGACGTTCGCTTTGTATGCGACTGGTAGGCGGTTCATATCCCGGTAGTGGTTGAAATTCTATTTTCCTATTTTTTTTTTCAAAAGGAAAAGATGCGTGGAAATTTTATGCAGGGGAATTATGATGTGGAGATATACACTCTTGGAGTGTGCTCTAGTTATTTAATAAGGCCCCTATTATTAATTTAATAACACTGGTAGAAAAATTACAGTATAACCCATGAAGACACATTTGAGCCAAAAAATATCTGCTTGCAAGGATACCTCTATTTAGGGGACGTTGAGATGCTGCTACTGACAACGATGCCGAGGATGGTCGCAAAGATTATAATGCTGCTATTGAAGATAATGATTCCTTTGATGTCAATGTTGATGATGATGATGATGCCAATGCTGCTGATGATAATGAAAATGCTGACGATGATGATGCATATCGATGATGATGCCGATGATGGTGATGCTGCTGTTAAAATTGATGATGCTGATGCTAACTGAAAGAGTAGCATATCTAGGGATGCACGCCCCTTCCCCCACGACCCACAAAAAAAAAATAATATAAAAGGAATACACTATCAATTTTAACGTGAAAAAGTGTCATTTGCCCTTATATGAGCATCATATAGGTCTAATATTACCCCCAAATATGGGCATATCACATTGATTTGTCACATCAAGTCAAATTTTACAGTGTGGACAAAGCTTAAGTTGTTCTCCTTTTGGTCCTGTGTATCAAGAGTTTTCTAAAAACATCACACTTGGCCACAGTTTGACAATTACAACTCATACAATAAAATCCTCAAAATTAATAAGGTCATAATGTTTAACTAAAACCACAAATGATTTCTGCATTTATATGGCACTGCAGACAAGTGTTTAACTATATAATATAATATACTTCTTTATGTTCGTGTTGGGAATTTACAATAAACACTGTCAACAAAGATATGTAGGTATTTGGGGGAGGGGGTTAGTACATGCCCAGGGTTATATGTGTAACTGACTAAAACATTATATCTTGTCAAAAACATAAAATGTAATATTTGAAAATTTGTACCATGCATCCTTGTTTTGCATGTGATCATAGGAATATTGATGATTTAGTTCCAAATTATAAGAAGATATCTTAACATATACAGTATATTATAAACTTAAACATCTATTATGATACTTCACCTAAGGTTGAGCAACTTTTTTTCCCATACTATTTTTATACTGTTGCTATACATATAGGATCAAATTCCAAGTCTAGGATTTTGTATTCAATTAACAAAACTTTTAAGCACAAAAAGTAAGCCTATATAAATTTGATAGATTTCTAAGAAAAAAAACCCATATTTTAATTGTCTCAAATCAATAAATCTTTTCATTTAATAGTTTTAATGCACATACAGACTAAAGAAATTATTGAGCTATCAATGAATAAGTGCATTAGTATTTCTAGTTCGGCAGCAGTAATTGATATATTAAAAGTGACAATTACATGATTTTGATCAATATTTAGTACAGCAATGTGTCCGTTGATTACCTGGGGCTGTATACAATTCGTGTGCCTGACGATTATCTGTAATTGTATACAATTCTTCATACTCTTCTGTAACTACATTAAAAAATTTAGGAAGTTGAGATTAGTTAAACTTTAACCCAATTATAAAATAAATATATATGGTAATGGTGTTGCTGTATAGGTAAATATACATACAGTAAATAATGAATCAAATGGTATCAGATACATGCCACAAAATTTATTTGAAAACTAGCAAGTACTTTATCAAGTTATATAGGCCTATGTCATAAATTGAATCCCAGAAGAAGAGGAATATTCAATTAACAATTCTAAACACAAAATGTATATAAATTTACTAGATTGCTAACAAAAAAAACCCCAAAACCCCTTCTGTTTGTCACAAAGCAATACATCTTTAAATTGAATAATATTAATGAACTTAAAGACTAAAAAAAATATCAAACAGCAAGTGCATCAGTATTTACAGTTCGGCAGCAGCAACTGATATATTCAAAGTTACAATTACATGATTTTGATCAATATTTAGTCCAGCAATGTGTCCATCAATTACCTGTAATTGTATACAATTCATGTGTCTGACCATATACAGGAACATCATGACTATATATGGGCATACAACATTTTTTTTTGTCAAAGAAAAGTTGGTAGTCTGGACAGGGCTTAAGACATCTGTAACTACATCAAAGATCTTATAAACACAAGATGGCGTTCTCTGCGATTTACACGTAACAAATAGAAGCGTCCATTTGGCACTGAAAAGTAATAACTTTTGGGAGAGGTCGTCCTAGTCGTTGCCATGGATCTAAGATAGGGTGTTCGCGTTACGGCAAAGTTTGTTACCAAGTATGTTAATTGTTCCTTAATTGTTCTAAAGAAAGGGCGCATTGTAAATTGGACGCTACTAATTGTTACGTGTAAATGTAAAGTCGCACGTTGTACACTATGGCCAAAGCAGTCAAAGTTCAAAAGTTTTCATTTTTGCAAGAGGGCACCGTACACTCCTTTATTGCAGAATTTGCATGCGGAAATCGCCGAGAACGCTATCTTGTGTTTATAAGATCTTTGAACTACATCAAACAAATTGGAATTTAAAAAAAAATTAACCTAATGATAAAATTGAGCAATATTAAAAATGAAGTATTAAACAATGACTATCTTCACATACAGAAACAGAAAATACAAATACCACCTGATAAAACTATTAAAACAGAGTACAATGAACACTTATTATTTATTCATGGTTAGTATGAACTTGTCTAACTAAACACAATTTATAAATCATTAAACTACATCTTAAATCCACATTATTATCTCAATCATTATCAAAATATAAAATATATATATATATAATAATGTAAAAATATTCATATAAAATATAAAAGCAAATATTATTCAATTTACACTTGAACGATCTTAAAAATATATGATAATAGTAATCAACTTGTATTGCGCCTTATAGTTAAAAATCGCCTAAAATGCTTAAAGATAATGAAAATATAAGAAAACTCTAACCCAAGCACCAGTTACAATTTACTAGAGAATCATATAAAAACGAACCAGCATCACTGCACCATTCTCCAGCAATTTAACGACAAGAGAACAGACAAATTACAAACATTTACACAAAAGGACGGTGACAGTTCGGGAACAACCAACAAAGAATATAATTCTTTTCCAGTGATGGCACTTGTCTTCCAGTGCAAGCACTTCATAAAACGCTCCAACATTTTTGCATCCTCACAGGGTATATATTGACTAAGGCTTCGTATATTACCAGGGAGGAAACAGAGCCTAAGAATAGGTATATCATCAGGTTTGGTAAAGTTGACCCATTTTTTTAATCGATTATGAGGAAATAATTTTTATTTTTTGCTTTTTTTAATTCTTTGGTGGTCAAACATTTTGAACATCATCAGAAGAGGAAAATCAGGACTCAGCATGCCATACACAATCAGGAGGAAGCAGCACAATATCTTTTACATAAAGCATGCTTACATATCATGATGTTCTGAAGTATACAGATGGGTTTCATACGGTGCTTCATTTGGTTGTGTTGGCTCTGGTCCTATTGGTTTTACGTCCAATCCAGCATTGTTGTCTTCTGCCAACATTATTGTTTTTAAATACCCTTCATCATCTGTTGCCTGCATTGCTGATATGTACCTTCCATCAGAATTGTCTAATAGCTCAGATGTACCACTTCTAGGGGGTAAATGTGGCTTTATCTCATCATAAAATGGATCATATACGTGATTGTCATCATATGCTTTATGTTGTGTTGGTCTTGGTGTAAGTTGTGCCATTTTCAGTCCATCCTCATCTACAGCCTTGGATCTTTAAAAAAATAAAGTAGAGGCATTAAAATTTATTTTATTTTTTAACATATTTTTTAAAAATTTAATAACATATTGGATACTGATATTTATGTACCAAAACCATTTATGTACCACCAAAAAGTTAAAACTAACTTTATTTTTGAAATACTCTTCAAATACATTCATCTTGGTCTCCCAAAAGTGTCAGTATCCATGAAATCAAATCAAAATGAAACATCAAAGTAAATGAAGAAAATGTACACTTAGCTTTCCTCACACA